GCAGCTAAGTATGTAATGGAAGACCACTTTTTCCCCCAAGTAATCATTACATAGAAAATATGTAAAAAAAAATTGGACAATCCATTTCGGCATATCCTTGCTCTTCCTTCAGTATCATACCCCGATGCCCACAGCAGTATTTGAAAACTGGATATTATGAATTATGGATACGGATAACCAGACGGTTGCATTACCTAGTCCCAGGACTACCTCAAGAATAACGATATAATATATTATCTAAGATACCTTAACTAACTAAGCCTGCAGACTGGTTAGCACATCTTCCATATTCATGTGCAGCATAGCAAAATTGATAATTGATATCTGTTATATTGAATGGGGGATACAGATTTTTCAGTATTATAGTTCGACAGCACCAATGATTCTCAGCAGTGATTTAACTCTTCAACGGTTCAGTCAAGTCAGCAATATTCAATTTACTAGTACAATAAAGTCAAGGTATATGTAAGTCCGGTTCTTTATATTAACATTAATATAAACTTGTGTTTTTTAGTGCAAAAAGGTCACGTCTTTAGTTATAAATAGGTACGTTGTATACATTTTTGTCAAATCGGTAGTATATGATAATTGAAGGTGAAAGGAGTTGAGAATAATTATTGATTGGACTCTCGAAAGTACTGGTCGTGACACAAAACACTTGTTCTTGGCCCAAGAGGTGTTCAAACCTGTGACGCCTGCTCACCATGCCTAATCTTGTCTATAACTCGGTGTCCTATAGCCCAGCAGACGACAATCCAACTAACTGCTGATATTATCAATAGTAAGCCCCATACATTTTAGTTATTTAGGGATATACAAATTACAATGAGCGGTTGGATAACGAAGTGTGCGATGAGGGGAAATTTTGCAAGAAACGCAGCATTAGCCAATTATTTTCGGTAGAGAATCTGTAGAAGAGTCTTTATCGCGGAGCTTGTCTTCTTCACATTTGACTTTGACAATTTGATCAAATTTGACTAAAATTCTAAATTATATTAGCCATTATCGATAAAACTTAAACAGGATTTCATGCACGACTGGACACTTTAAGGGAAATTTCCATTTGCACCTCAATATTTTTGTTTATCAAAACATTCAGTGTTTTGTTGTTGTGATTTTCCATGTGAAGACAATTTAAGTCAAGCGTGTCCATGATGCCTACGTCTATTCACATGTAAAATTTTCCTAAGCGAGGCAGTTTTTGCAGGCCCAGAACACTGAGCCTGTATGATAAAGTGCACACCGAGGTTTAAATTTCGATTAAACGATATTGTCATTTAACAGGGAGTGTCCTTACTCATCTTTTATTATTCACGTGTTTCGTGCATGTGCTGATATATTTTTTTAAGAAAACCATTAAAAAGTGACCACGTGCAAAAGTGTTTATATGCCGGATTGAAAGGACCGGTCATGTAGATGCCGACATGTGTTTTAGACATTCCATCATCAGGGCAGTTGTTTTTTTAGTGGATTTTAAAATCTTTAATTCCACGACCTGGACAGGTGTACAGGAGAACAGTTTCATCATATTGGGAATAGTATACGGCCATATGTTGATTAGAACTCCTACGGCATGCCACGACAGCAACAATTTAAAGACAAATACATGATTCCAATTGCATATTAATCTATTAAGAACCTCTTCGACTTCTCGGAGACAAAAGGACAAACCTAACGTCATGAAACCTCTTTGGCTAATGGCTTTGTGACATGAAGTGCTATAAGCGGCTTATAATCTGATTGTGAATTGTTGTAATATCATGCTGATAATGGTTTATTTCGGGATTTTGGAAATTCTGAAATTTTAAAGCAGAGTCTAAGTAATTGAAACGAACTAACTTATACAAATGATGAATTTGAAGAATATCATTGAAACATGTTTACTAGCGGTCTTCTATTGTTCAGTATTAAACCCATCACGATGACCATACTGGTTGATGACGTTTAAATTATACATAATAAATATATCCGAAAAAAACAATATTAACTTTTCGGACTTAATGCGATGCCGATGAAAACAGTGGTACCAGGTGCTCCAGAAAAAAAGGAATATGTCCTGTTCCGCAGTGTCAGGGCTACCTCATACGTCAGTACGTCAGTGAGTTCGTCACTCCGTCAATGAGTTCGCCACTCCGTCAATGAGTCTTAATTGGTTCCGCAAGCGACATCCACCAAGGTACTCATTTTAGTGGAGCTCAAAAACTTTGTAATGCATAATTTGTATTAATTTACACCATAATCTTGCACACAGTAAATAATCAATTTCCGCCAACGTCAATGTCTGAAATATATTGAAATTTATCACCTAATGAGTGATCAAAGAATTCGGAATTCACGAAAGGTGACAAAAAAAATATAATTGACGTATTTATGTCTTCAGTTAATTGTCTTGTTTTCGCCCCATTAATCTAATGCCATTAAAGTTCTTGTTTTAAAGGCTGTGTCAAGAAACTGACAACGCGGTCGAAACTCAAATCAAGTAAAACCAGAAATTAAGGAGAACCTGTGAATGACGTCATATTTCCTGCGGTTATGATGTCTTGACGTTATTCTTATAGCACGCCTGAAGGTGTTAGGAAACCTGTTTTGTTTCAATGGTATGAAATAATTGTATAGTATAATAGCATTCTTGTATCGTTATGCAAATCTTTACCGCAAATGTACCAAATCCGAACCCTGGGCTACCATTTTGCAGCTATAAGCTATGCGATTCTCATTTCCTTATATACAGGTCTAATGTGGCGATGTGCCGATTTTTCAAAAACACCCAAAAGAGTTATAAAAAAAATAGCTATAATAGCAATTTCGGCCCTTAAAAGGACGCCGAGACAGTAGGGCTCACTGGGAAGTGTTTCTTAAAAGTGAGCAGGTTCCGTTTCGCTTGTGACATGCTTTATAGTTATTGTAGTAGTATATGAGACAAATAAGAACCTAACTTATACTATATAGTAATATAGAGAGTAGGAAATCTGCTATGACGTCATGATGCCGCAAGCTTTTTAGGAAAGCCACACTGTCTTGGCAAGGTCACGTTCGTGATTGATGTCATAAACGAGAACTGGTGGAAAAAAATAAAATTGAAAAAAAAATAATAAAAGGAAGGCAATGACTGATCGATCATCAAACGTCAAAATGTCGACATCAAAACATGCATCCATTATTTTCTTTCCGGGTTCATTTTGTTGACATTTTGCAGACTGTTGCTCTGGGAAAAAAGTTAGTCGACAGATGATGCATATTACCCGACATTGTCCTAGTGACTAGAGCAAAGCATATACATGTTTTCCTTCATTGTATGACATTGTGGGGTCAGTGCGCTCATCATAAGCAGTTATGGTGTCCAACATATCATGCAATTTGGTGCCCAGGAAGGTGTCGCTTCAATTCCACACCTTAAAGAGGTTTTCTAAACTTCAATGTGTATTGGGGACATTGATAGCATTGATTTGCATCGTTCCACTTTTCAGTCGAACATCTGTAGGTTTGCAATTCCACTAACTCTAAGGGTCTTATGAGGTCACTATTGCTAGAGCTTTTAGATTTCCTTAGCAGCTTATACCATCAAAATCTAGGCTCCTGAAAAGGGTAATAGAAAGAAAAAGATGGAAAACCCTGATCTCGAGCCATTCGAGTCTTCCTCTTTTATTTTGTTGACTTTGCGACTTTGTTGTATGGATTAACCTACTATTAACAGGTACGTATTGGTTTTCTTAATTTGACTGAAGAATGAGTTTGGGAATGCCACATAAGTAGATTGATATTTTAATCAATTATTTTAATAAAAAAAAATTCCTACAAAGTTGCGTTATGTCCTTTGATTTGTTCTATACATATAGCTTATCGTTTATGGGCCATTGCGTCTCAACTTTAGAATAAGTTCAATTTTCATGTAAATCATAACAATTGACCTTTTGTTTGTGGGAGTCGAGTTTGAAGTTTGTCGGTCAACTGATTTGTGAGATGTCATATCAGTCAGGGTCGTGTAATTTCAATTTTTATCAGTGGCCTATATGAACCGCATTAACTTATTCCGCATATTTGTGGTTTTATTTTCACCGGTCACCAGACTATGTGCACTCTAGACAGAATTAGGTTAATGTTACTAAGTTTTTAGTTATGACTAGTACATAAAGTTGGTTTAAAAATTTGGCTAATTTGGCCTTTATATTTGATATCCTAGATTTTTTTTTTAAATAAGAGCTCTTTTAATATCTAAGTACTGTGCTGCATATTGGTGTTCCGGGTTTTACAAGTCATACCTAAAAATCCTGAACACCCTAAGATAGGGTGAAAGCCGACACCGGGCATTTTGCACAGGTATCAGCATTTTTACCAAGATTGGGTTAATCAAATTTTACAGGCTTTACTCGGCGATCTGATTTCGTAGGCCTAACGTTGAATTCCCCGAAGCCTGAAACAATTGCAACTTTCAAATGACATAATTTTCTACCGCACCTTAATTCCTCAAATTTGCATCCATCTAGCATAGAGATCGCATTAACAGAATTGGTTTAATAGGCTATGATTGCAACTCTTGACGACTGACGATTCAAGATGAGTTCCCTTATTTTCATTTATGAAAATGAAAATGCTGTAATACTTATATGAATAGAAAGTCTAGTAGGGATGTTCCAATGACTTGGGAAAATACCAGTTTGTCTCACATGTCCATAATTAATAATTATAATAAATAATAATTAATTCATAATGAGCTATAATTATATGCCATAAGAACACAATGACATGATTAAGAATACATGATAATTCATTAGAAACACCAATTAATCAAATAGTTTGCTATTTTTTTTAAAGAAGGAAACCCAACTTTAACGAAATCCTGATATTAGTAAATGTGCCTTCGAAATCGATTTAAGATACCAATCCTTTCATGTAACAGCTGACTGTGAAGTAAATAGCTTTGCGAGTAGTAGCTTAATGTAGTCAGTATGAATTACGAGTGACTTCAGACCACAAAAAATATGTTTCTTAAATAGAGTTACGTCCCATTACCGGAAGTTAATGTCTCTAGAAATTCCAGCGTAAACATGATGGTGAGTTTCAGCAAACTGAATCATTCTTTAATCCAGAGCAATCCACTGTCACATCGCCCAAATTCTGACATCGACACGTGTTCCAAGGTTGTTTGATATCCAGTTCAAGTACCTGATCATAACTTTTGTTGTGTTACATGTAGTCAGGCGGCGTTCTTTGAAGCGATGGTTGTCACAACGTGATTGTACATGTGGAACATTCCAGAACGATCATTGTTAACTGGTCGAGATAAATTCGCTTCATCATGGTATTTTACATCTACTGTTGTTAATTATTTGGTCAAAGGATTATAGCAAAGCTAGTAATTGCAATAGATCTCCTGTTGGTCCTGCTTTATGTGCAATTAGATTACTTAGACTGTCTATTTTAATTGCTTGATTCTTTGACCATTCACCATGGCCATAGATCATGGTATTGGTATAGGTTAATTTATATGTGTGATATTAATACTTATTACTCATTACTCACAATCCAACAGGAGAAGTGCCAGATCATCGGTGTTGGCAGACAGTTCATAGTGTTCCATAAGAAAATACAAAAATTGTATTTTATTTTACAATCTCTTTCTTTCAGCAACCTCCAATTATTTTGTTAAAAGAAGGGACTGATACCTCCCAGGGTGTTCCTCAGATAATCAGTAATGTCAATGCCTGCCAAGCCATCGCAGATGCTGTCAGAACCACACTGGGCCCTCGGGGCATGGACAAGTTGATAGTTGGTGATGGAGGTAAAATTTTAAGTCGTTGGACTGCAAAGTTTTGAATCAAAGGATACTTGTGGAGCTCTTATGTATTCTGCAACTGCGAAGTTATCAAAGGATCCTGGTATCAAGGAAAGCAAAGATGTATTGCAGATAAATGAAAAAAAAAAAAAAATTTTCTTGATCACTGTAATTCAGTGTTTTATGTTTGCTTGAGATTTTTCATAGTAGTTCTGATATATGATGCCATAATACTTTTTTTTTTCTTTTCAGGAAAAGCTGTGATATCAAATGATGGTGCCACCATTTTAAAAACATTAGATATTGTTCATCCAGCAGCAAAAACATTGGTTGATATTGCTAAATCTCAAGATGCTGAGGTACATGATATTTTGTTTTAGGCTAGGAAGACTCGAACAGTGGTGTGTTACAGTGGCAAGGTGGGGGAGCACATCTGAGGGTGATCCTTTTTGGGCCAAACACTTTCAAATTCTTATTCAACTCAAAAGAATTTACAGTCGTGGTTATGGCCTGATGTGTGAGCTAATTTTTAACTAGCATCAGTAATGAATTTTTTCTTTTCAACTTTTTATAGGTTGGTGATGGTACCACCAGTGTTGTACTATTAGCTGGAGAGTTTCTTAAAGAAGCGAAACCATACATAGAAGAGAAAGTTCATCCTCAAGTTGTTATTCGAGCATTCAGGAAAGCTGGACATTTGGTAGGTATTGATAGAGCATGAGTCTTGAATTTTCAACTCTCCCTGATAATGGATTTGGTTTTTGAGATGATGATAAAGTGAGGCTACGATATTTTATTATAAATGAGATATTTACCTTGCTTCGCTCGCCGTGCTGATTAAAACCCTTTTGAATTGATAATTTTTGAGTTTTTGCCCTTGATTTTAGTTGATGGAAGGTTTTGAAATGATGATAAAGTGAGGCTACGATATTTTATTATAAATGAGATATTTACCTTGCTTCGCTCGCCGTGCTGATTAAAACCTGAAGTCTCTGTGACCAAATGATGTAAATTGAAACATAGTATAATTCAATGATGACACTTATTCATCACCCATTGAACTGATGGTCACAAGCTAAAATATTCAAAGCTATATGGGAATTTTCCTTTGAAAAGAATCTCTTGTTATGTTTCTAGAAGCAGTTTTTTCTTTATTTTCCATCAACCTAAAGCTTATCTAATGCTACTGGCATTCGTTTCTGATATGAAGTACTCATCAGGACAGTTGGTGTTGAAATGAGTAATTTTTCCAATATAGGGACTTGACCATTGAGCATTAAAGTTGAACTTGCGGTGTCGACCACTGAATTTTCTTTTACAACAAATATTGATTTGAATTCTATTTTTGGAAACTGTTCTGCCTTTTTGTCACTTCTCGCTGAAATTATACAAGACAATAATTCCCAATTTCAGATGATCCAGAAAATTAAAGAAATAGCTATCAAAATCAAAAAGGAAAACCCAGCGTAAGTATTTGATTTACTTGCTCTTTAGGCCAGGAGATCCCAAGTTGACTTCTATGTCACAAATTTGTCTGATTTTACTATGGGCTGATTTTCAAAGGGATGCTTTGGCAGGTATTTTTTGATACTAAGAACTCATACTTCATGTAATTGAATGAAAATATCCAAATTCTGAACAAGTTATGATGATGAGATTGGTCCGTGTTGTTGAATCTAACTGAAAATACAACTAACCATTGCTGAACTTGTTTATTTATTGAAATATGCATTCCTATTATAACGGTTATGGCAAACTGTTGTCATTCGAAACTAGAACTGGGGTTTTAAAATGATGATAAAGTGAGGCTACGATATTTTATTATAAATGAGATGTTTACCTTGCTTCGCTCGCCGTGCTGATTAAAACCCATGTGACTTCAACTTTATATTTGTTTGAGTTATTGCCCTTGACTAGTTACATAATGGATAATGGTTAAATTCAGGTTTTAAAATGATAATACAGTGAGGCTACGATATTTTATTATAAATGACATGATTACCTTGCTTCGCTTGCCGTGCTGATTAAAACCTGTAAAAGTAATGGAATTAAATTCGGAACAAGTTATGATGATGAAATTGGTCCGTGTTGTTGAATCTAACTGAAAACAAAACTAACCAACACTGAACTTGCTCTTTACAAAAACCATGATATGGTTTTACAATAATGAAATATTTTCACTGTTAAAATAGTGCTCAATACATCAATTGTAGAGAGATATAGAAATACCACTGTTAAAATAGTGTTCAATACATCAATTGTAGAGTGATATAGAAATATCACTGTTAAAATAGTGCTCAATATATCAATTGTAGAGTGATATAGAAATATCAGTGTTAAAATAGTGCTTAATACATCAATTGTAGTTATGGTTTTATATCAAATTTCCATTCTGTATAGTCACGGCCAAGGTCTTATCTACTGAACATTATATCCTTAGATTTACTGGAAGCATAAAATTAATAGATAAATTTGTTGTTGAGTGGTTCAAATGATGTTTGATAGGAAGAGACTGAATTCTATTTATAGATTCACATGAAGTCAGTTTTAATCGCTGATGAACCACATCTTTTCAACTGCTGTTAAAATCAGTCTTGAAGCAAAGTGTACTTATTTGTTGATGTGTTCTATATATATTGATACTCGACTGATAAAATTAAATGTAGAACTAGATTGTTGATTGGTCTAAATGATGTTTGATAGGAAGAGACTGAAATGATCTATTAATAGATTCACATGAAGTCAGTTTTAAACCCTGATAGACCAATTAACAAATTGTCTTTGACAGTATTGTTGACTATTTCTGGTTACCAGAACCAAATCATTATTAAGAATAAATTCTGGATTCTCTTAAAAGGTTTTGTTTGTTTTCTCGAGTTGGTCAAGGTGTCTTGAGAAGTTATTTCTCTGGTTTTAAAATGATGATACAGTCTGGCTACGATATTTTATTATAAATGAGATATTTACCTTGCTTCGCTCGCCGTGCTGATTAAGACCTGAATAAAAGTTTTGAAATGGAATTCTGAACAAGTTATGATGATGAAATTGGTCCGTGTTGTTGAATCTAACTGAAAATACAACTAACCACTGCTGAACTTGTTTAGAAAATTCCAAACATTCAATGCTTGTCCTATCTTAGGCTTGAAATATGAGTCTTCCTTGTTAATTTTGCTGTCAGCGAAAAACAGCTGACTGTGGTATTTTCTTAAATAGTGGCTAGTAAACTGTTGCAGTCCAGTTTTCATTAATCTCACACTATTTTTCCTGTCTGTTATACTAAATGGTTAATTGATTTGATAAGAATTAAGCAATGGTTCAAGTTGCATTCTTGTATTGATCTGAAACTGTCGACCATTCTTCAATCCTTACAAGTACATAATGAGTAATTATTTGTATTTCAGAGAATTGAGAGAACTGTTAGAGAAATGTGCTGCTACCTCATTAAGTTCCAAGTTAGTAGCTGCTCAGAAAGATTTCTTCTCCAAGATGGTGGTGGATGCCGTCATGATGTTGGATGAGTTGTTGCCCTTGAATATGATTGGTATTAAAAAGGTTCAAGGAGGAGCTTTAGAGGTGAGGATTGCATTGGACATTGTTTAAAAATGTGCCAAGAAAGACAGATTTAGAAAATGACTTTTTAAATCACAGATGGTTACATGTTCGACTTACAAATCTTTGTACAGTTATGACCACTGTGAATTTGGCTGAGTATTTTCGAGAATTTTGGCCAAATGCTCAGGAAATCATTACAGAAAGACCAAATGATGTAAATTGAAACATAGTATAATTCATTGATGACACTTATTCATCACCCATTGAACTGATGGTCTTTCTGTAAAATATTAAATTTTACTCTTGGTTTTAAAATAATGATACAGTGAGGCTACGATATTTTATTATAAGTGAGATGTTTACCTTGCTTCGCTCGCCGTGCTGATTAAAACCTAGATAGATATGTTAAAAACAATTTCACTGAAAACTCACAAGTTATCTGCAAGAAATTGATGCAAATCAGATGGTACTGACTTGCCATGACAAAATTTCCCTCATTGCACATTGCATGGTGTTGCCTGCATTCATTAGCCCATCGTGTGTAGAATGGACCTGGCAAAAACGTTTCATTTCGTTGAAATATTAAAACTAATTTGTTTCAGGATTCCATGTTAGTTGCTGGTGTAGCCTTTAAGAAAACTTTCAGTTACGCTGGTTTTGAGATGCAGTCTAAAACATACACGAATCCTAAGATAGCATTATTAAACATTGAACTAGAATTGAAAGCAGAGAAAGAAAATGCTGAAGTCAGAGTTAATTCTGTGGAGGTAAGTGATCGTATTTTATATTGTTCAAATTGAGTTATTGCCCTTGACTAGTTTGTTACCATAGTTGATTCTTGGTTTTAAAGTGATGATACAGTGAGGCTACGATATTTTATTATAAATGAGATGTTTACCTTGCTTCGCTCGCCGTGCTGATTAAAACCATTTGGAGCCCTATGTGAACGTGAACTCTAGCCATTGATAAAGAGTTATTGCCCTTGATTAATGATATTCATATTGAATTGTAGGAATATCAATCTATAGTGGATGCTGAATGGAAGATTCTTTACGATAAATTAGAAACTTTATATAAAAGTGGAGCCAAGGTGGTGTTATCAAAGTTACCTATTGGAGATGTGGCAACTCAATATTTTGCTGATAGGTATGTTTGCTTTTGGATATTGATAATATTTGGACCAATCTGCTGACAAGTTAATTCCGAATGTGCTTCAGAAGCATTCTTTATACATAGAGGCATCTTTACCAATTGTACTTTAGTCTCGGAAACGGGCATTATTTAGCTAAGCTAATCAGTAATTGTGTTCTCAGCTTGCCAATGAAATTCGAGCCTTCTTAAACGTGAATCTGTAATTATCTGGAGATTTTGCAATGATATAGAGCAAATAAATTATTTGCATCTTCCAACCATTAATGTTGCATTTTATGTAAAAACATTGCATACTATCCTTATTGGGAATAGTTTATTTAGATTATTTCTTATGACTGTATGCTAGATTGATCAGCCTCTGCGACATTGAATCATTCTATATGATACTCAGTTACTTGTAGGCAGACAATTGAAATTCCAACTTAATAAGTTGATATGCAGATAAGGATAAGAATTTCATAATTTTTTTTTATATACAAATAGCATTGCATAGCAATAGCAAAGGTATATTATGAAATTTCTCTATTAATATAAGCTTAGTCTAAAAGCAGAGTTAATAAATTAATGTAAAATGTTTTAGCCTCGTATTTAAAATTGAAACCGTATGTTACAGGGATATGTTCTGTGCTGGTCGTGTACCTGAAGAAGATTTAAAGAGAACAATGAAAGCCTGTGGTGGATCCATACAGACCACTGTACAAGGTTTAAAACCTGATATTCTAGGAACTTGTGAAAATTTTGAAGAGGTTCAAGTGGGATGTGAAAGGTAAGTGTATTCTTATTCATTTTGGAATTAAAGCGGAAAACGTGGCCAGAATTGTGGTAATTATTGGTTCTATTCAGACTTAGTTCAAGGAGATATTTTGAAGCTGGTGAATCGAAGATTTCAGCAATACAGGAAAAAAGTATAGCAAATGTCTACTCTGTTCACAATTAAATAACCTTACTTACAAATGATACAACTCATGAGCAATCTTACCCAAATCTTTTCATCATGTGTCCCGGGCATTCGAATATAGAGCATGCTCCATTATAGGCACAAAAGGTTCCCTTTCTGCTATGAATTGTTACTATTTAATCTTATTTTCAGGTACAATGTCTTCAAGGGTTGTCCTCAAGCTAAAACCTGTACCATTATTTTACGAGGGGGTGCTGAACAATTCATGGAAGAGACTGAAAGATCTTTACATGATGCCATTATGATTGCTAGAAGAGCCATGAAGAACGACTCGGTAGTTGCTGGTAAGTCGGCATGAGGCCACCTATTAGATATCCTTAAACAAGTTGAGTTAGTTATTATTGAATTTGAATCCTATTTGAACAAGTTATGATGATGAAATTGGTCCGTGTTGTTGAATCTAACTGAAAATACAACTAACCACTGCTGAACTTGTTCATTTTTACTAAGTTAAACTTATCTTATCTTCTCTTCATGAGATATTCAAGGTTTTAAAGTGATGATAAAGTGAGGCTACGATATTTTTATTATAAATGAGATATTTACCTTGCTTCGCTCGCCGTGCTGATTAAAACCCTTTTGAATTGATAAATTTTGAGTTAATGACGTTGACTGTTTACGTTATATTTTAGTTGACTCTAGGTTTTGAAGTGATGATACAGTGAGGCTACGATATTTTATTATAAATGAGATATTTACCTTGCTTCGCTCGCCGTGCTGATTAAAACCTATAAAAGTTTCTGTGACCAAATGATGTAAATTGAAACATAGTATAATTCAATGATGACACTTATTCATCACCCATTGAACTGATGGTCACAAACAGAACATTTTTCAAAATATTTTACTTTATACTCCCAATATGTCAAAACCTGCCTGTCTCAGTTTTTGAAAAAATGTCTCCAGGAATTAGTCTTAACAGTATAGGCCATAGATGGAAAAACTGAGCTACTGTTATCTAAGATTTCTTGAGAGATTGCTCACTGCATTATCTTTATATATTACTAGACATAGCCGAGTTAGGTATAAATGTAATGGAAAAGGTATGAATGAGAATTAAACTGGTAAAAGTTTTACTTAAGTCATCTTATGAACTGATTTGTGAAAATTTAAAATGTATTACAGGAGGTGGAGCTATTGAAATGGAACTGAGTAAATATTTACGAGAGCTATCACAAACTATAGCTGGTAAAGAACAATTGTTAATGACAGCTTTAGGAAAAGCTTTAGAAGTGATTCCACGTCAACTATGTGATAACGCTGGGTTTGACGCCACTAATATTCTCAATAAGCTACGACAGAAACATGCTGAAGGTAAAGATTTCAATGATTATAAATTTTCTTTTTCCATTTATTCTAATATTTAGACATTCGGGGTGAGAGACGACTCCTAGAAATTCTGGCACAGGCATCAGAATTTTCTTGCCTTGAACAGGATTTAAACCCATGGCACCTAATCGTCTAGCAGACAATCCAACTATCGATTGAGCTGTTCCACTGCTTTAAGCAAGGAGATATACCTTCTAGAGCTCAATTCCAGCTATCTGTATCACTTACCAGAATGAAATTGCACACCTAGTTTGTCTGCAACCTAAGATAATTGTTTGTGACAGTGAAATATTCAGATTATAATACTAACATTTCGTGAGCAACTATAACTGAATCCAGGGTTATGTAGATCTGTTTGAATTCAGAAATTGCTATATTGTATCCAAAAATTTTACCAAAAGACCAAATGATGTAAATAGAAGCATAGTATAATTCAATGATGACACTTATTCATCACCCATTGAACTGATGGTCTTTCTGTTAAATATTAAATTTTACCCATGGTTTTAAAATGATGATACAGTGAGGCTACGATATTTTATTATAAATGAGATGTTTACCTTGCTTCGCTCGCCGTGCTGATTAAAACCTATGGACATTATCCTTTGTAATCTACAATATTTTAGTTAAAATTACTAAATTCTCAACTCTTAATTTACAATTTTTTTGAAATTTGAAACTTTCTTGTAAATGTCTTATAAATCAGTCAATATTCTCAATATATTTCAGGTGGTACATGGTTTGGAGTCAATGTAATGACTGAAGACATCTGTGATAATTTCCAAGGGTTTGTTTGGGAACCGTCTGTAGTAAAAATAAACGCTTTAACAGCTGCCATAGAATCGACCTGTCTTATATTATCAGTGGATGAAACTATCAGGAACCCTAAAGCAGAAGGTGGTGGACCCCCTGGGGCTGGTCGTGGAAGAGGTCGACCTATGTAGTTTATATCATATATAGGACTTTATTCAATTTACTTAAAATGGCTCAAGTGATCTGTTGAAGATGTTGGATTTTAGAACTGCAACTAGAATTTTAAGGTTATTACATGTACTGATGTATTTGGTTTAATACTTTAGCATCAGTTTAAGGCTTTAAGCGAATTTCTTGGTTAATTTCCATTGGACTGGTATGTAGAAGTTTCAGCTTACAAGATCTTTAGCTAAAATGCATGATGTATGGAGCTCAAAACCAAAGGTCTGCAAGATTATGTTGAAGGATTTAAAATTTCACATAAGCTGCAGATTATATATGCCATTTATGAGCTGTGGACATATCAATTCTATTTCCAAGCCAGTCTTCAATAGATCAGAAACTAAAAGCCTTGCATCTCATTATTCTCCGGTTTCACAATGTTTGCTTCATGTTTATTTTATATTCGTAATTTATTTAAAATTGTCCATCTTAAGAGTGCTATCGATTTCTATCAATTTTCTACATCATTACCATCAATAAAAAGTTTATTTACATTTTGATTTCTTTCAAACCCCTACCCTTCATCACCTCATTTGATTATTGAAATATCAGATCTCATTTGAATATTGCTCCAGGTAAGAACTTTGCATTGGTTGATTTGCACCTTGCTAATTTTAAGTGTTTTGCTAGTAACTCGCTATAGAGACAAGCAAAATCTTGTCTAAAATTGCAGGCACACCAGACATCAGATGGAAAATTGTAATGCTAAATGGTTCCTACATGAAAGAAAACCCAATACAACCGGTTGAAAATAAGAACTACCATTAGACTAGTAATGACTGAAAACCCAATACAACCGGTTGAAAATAAGAACTACCATTAGACTAGTAATGACTGTATTAAGTCAAGGAAATATAATAATAAAATGCAAACATAATAACCCTAGGAACAGTCAATCATTTCAACTAATAGTCAAACAACTGATACCAATATATTGAATTGAAATAGTGGGAATATATTAGATAATTTAAGGGCACATGTGATTATACTGAATAATTAACTACATGTATTTCAGAGGCTAGTACAATAGCTTGTCTAATATAATTTCAAAATAGAATGGATTTGAGATTTTTAATACCCATCCAGTCAAAGCTCTCACAATGTGGGGGGGTATCCACTTATAACACTGATTTGCGAGTTGGCAATGAATCTAAATTAAAATCCTCCGATCATGGATAATGAGCTTAGATCACTGCAGAGAAAGAAACATTTAGATCTTCATTATTTTAAAGAGATTGTGAATTAATGCTATGAAATTGGACTCCATAAGGGTAAGATTAAATATGAAAAAAGAAAAGTATTTAAACATTGAACCAACATTAACAAAACTCTAAACATTAACTGTTAAAAACCTTCTTAAACAACTAACAGAATATAGCAATTTGGTTGGATTATAAGCCAGTCAATACAGCCAATCAGAGGCCTTGAAAGAAAGACTGAACACTAAGCAACAATGGTTACAGTCTTTGTTTTCGAGGTCCCCGATTGGCTGTATTCACTAGCATACAGTACTGATACCAGAAAGGTGACTGTTGTAGTCAAGGTATGAGAAGAAGTTCTACATTGTGAAGATGAAAAGAAGGTTGCCGTTATGACTTGAAACAGCAATGGATCCCCACTGCATTAGTATGAAAAGGAAAGCCTTAAAAAGTCCCTATGTTGTGAGGTCTACAAGAAGTTTGCCCTGATCACTTATCAATTTTAATTCTGATACAAGTAATAAGATATAATAAATATTTCTATATATATACTAGTAATAATATCTGCTCTATTAATTCTTAAATATAATAATAATACTAAATACAGGCAAGTTAATAAAACAACAATAATTCTTTATAATGGAGTTATCTCCCTTTGCACAAACTGCAGGCAATGATAATGAACTTCAATTAGCTTCAGAGTGCCTGAAAACAATGAGTGAAATGTGGGTGAATCTACTGTTGAAAGTTCCTGGTATCCCTATCATTAGGGTGACTTCAATTCTCAAAATAAATTATGGTGCATGCCGTAAAATTTTTCTTCTACTAAAATATTGTTCAATATATATTCCTTAAAAGAAATATCAAATGTAAAAGCTCTAATAATTTAGCTCTAATTCCATGTCACATACAATTTACAAAGTATCATTCTGAATGCAAGTACAGTACTAAATAAACAATGTGGACTCTCTGAAAGGGATGCCAAGCTTAGAAGCTATTTGAAGTTCATTACAGATACTTTACGTAAGGAAATTCACACTAACATTCAAATATAATCTGAAAACACATATTCGATGACTTAATCAAGGCATTTTTCACATCTCCAAATACACACAGATAAAACACGAGAAAATATTGCTTAAAATAATTGCTGTTACATGAATACAATAGAACTGGTGACTGGTTTAAGAGTTCATGCCTCATAATGCCCATTTATAATTTGACTGAGCACTTGTGATGCTTTTTTTAATATTCAAATTTTTTTGAAAAATCATAAATTATAAACTTTGAGGACAGATGGTGGCCCGTATTAGTTTTCTTCAAATCAAAAATCATAAATTTTGATATTTCTTACAATAAACCGTCCATTAATCGTTCATGAACCCTTTGTTAAGTTCAAGTAAATGTGTTGCATAGTGTAATATGCAGGTGATTGTGAAAGGGAAGGAGGAGGGAGTGCACCTACTGTAGTAGGTGGGGGTGGGGTAGTTGAGTAAATAAGGTCACACACTTTATATTAACATCTATAGATAATGGCACTAAATGTTATCAATCCAAATGCCTTAAAGAAAAATCATCAAATTTATAACTATGCCCAATTAAGGCTTGAAGATTCAAGAACACAACTTTTTAGCTTCAGGTTTTAAAACCATATCTAATCATTAATTAATCTGTCTTACACACCAAAGGTTTGCACATACAATTTCTAAAAATTGTAGTTATTTTCATTTTCTCATACACCACTTGAAAATCAGCCATATTGCTCAGCATCTTAACACCCAAGTAGAGCCCTTAGATAGATATTAGCAATCTTATTATATACTCAGTTTGTAAAATTGAAGTTTGGTTAGTTCAGCCTACCTAGATCTAGTATACCAACCAACAAGTCAATATCTGACTTTTAACAAACAATTTTTATCATCTTGGGTAACTTTATCTCTCGAATCTTGGCATACCATCATCATCAACACAATCTCTTCACAGCTTTGCTTTTCCACAACCATAAAGACAAACCACAGTCAACCAACTTAAACAACCTTATTTCGAGGTGGCTCCGAATTTCTGAGCATCCTTCATTAACTGAGGATACAGCTGAGCTGGGGAAATTAGAATCTGAGGCGTAGCTGTGTTCAACTGTCCAAATAACCCGACTTGTTGACGCATCATCTCTTCATAAGCTGCTAACTGGGCAGCGTTAGCTTGGAATTGAGCTGCGTAAAGTTGCTGTAATTGTAAGGGAGTTGCAGTTGTAGCGAGGTTGGTGGGTGAATGCTGGGAAAGATATGCATATTGAAATGCTGGGTGGACGGCAGCATTAAATATGTCATTACTGGAACTAATTACAGGAACATTGGACGGTGTAACAGCTTGTTCCTGGAATTAAAAAGAAGTCTTGGATTACTTTCGGGTAACATTTTTCTACCATATGCCATGGCATTGTAAATCTGTTAGTTTGGATAAATCAGTGATGCTCAGTGACTTTGCAACGAAGGTTTTGGTTTCAAATACAAGTCTTCAAACTCTTTGTCTATTTAGACAATGTACTCAGAATTGAAATGGAGTTTTAGGTCCTATTTTCCCGCATCTGATGGAGCTAATGAAGACAAGCAATGCCATGAGCGATGAATAAGCCTACTCGATTTCCCACGGTCAAGGGAACTATAATGTGCACAGCCTGTATCACACAGGGCCTTGGTTTATTGTCCATCCAAATGACTAGACACTCTAATACCTAAATTGAAAACAAACAAAATGGTGGAGTATGATCTGGAAAAGTACTCACCTTTACTCTAGGTTTGGATTTATCATTGGGTGTAACAGATCTGTCTGTAGATTTGGTTGACATGAGGCTTTCTGACAGCGAGCGGGAACGATTGGCTATATGACTTTGTAATGACCTTGACACATGACTTTTTGAAGATATCTTTCCTGACTGTGTTGAATGTAGAGGCTTACTGGCATGTGTTGAAGAACGTTTATCTTGGTCCAATTTCTGTAGGGTTTTCATACTAAAGTCAAATGGTTCGTCACTTCCACTGTTATTTTGAGATTTAACAGTGTGAGCACTACGTGGCACTTCAAGTCTTTGCCGTTTGGGCGTTTCAGGTTTAGAACTAAAGCTTGGGGACATAATATCCGACACGGAATAGGATCTTTTATGATTTGAATGAGCTGGAACTGATGTTGACATATAGGGTATATGAGGATGGCCTGTTGGTAAGGTGGGACTTGTTAAGCCTCCAGGATGCACAACTGAAGAGTTCTTAGCTTGAGGTGTTCGCGATTTATCGGCAGATCGCGGTGAAGGGATAACTGAGTGAGCGAAAAGCTGAGAGGCAGCTAAAGGGTAGCCATTAGCATAAAAAGCACTAGAAGTAGGGGTCAAAGGTGAGGAAGTTGAAGGCGTGGCATTAGGTTTTAGATGTTTTGGAGCTGTACGATAAGCAAGGGGAGATAATATACTAGTTTTCTGACGGATGGTTGGTATTTCTAACACACTTGGGTTTTCAGATTTCACTTGTAAACTCTGGGACACCATATTGGTAGACTGATTCATCCAGTCTTGTTTACTGTTTTCACTTTTAGCAGAAACGTTATCCAGTAAGTTCTTGACAGTTTGTCTTTGTGCTTTCTTTACCTTTAAAAAACAAAATCATAAGTCAATAAAATATGGCTATAACACACCAAATTTAAAAAAAATGCACACAGCGCCCCAACAGCCATTATCATATGACATCCTTGGTTAGATTTCATGTTAAATTGTGTCCCTTTGAAAGAGAATTTAGTGTTGTGTCCATCAAATTTTAAAAGAAAAAGAACATAACCGAGGCCAAAAAAATAAAAAATCACTTAATTCAATACCTTTTCTTTATGGTTTTGTTTTCTAATTTCATTCCATTGTCTTTCTTTAGCTTCTCCTCCAACTTGATTTACGATCTGTAATTTCTGCTAGAAACAGATTCAGAATAACATTAAACTGCAGCAAACTATATACGCATTCTATAGTAAGGTATTTTCTGTTCACTTATGAATGGATAGTCTGTATTCCCAATGGCCAAATCTACTAGTTCTGTTTGGATTTGAACAGAACTAGAACAATCATTGAAACAGGTAGAACTGCCACAGAGAAAGTTGACTAATTCAGCATCATTTTGTATAATCTATATACTATATAATTGTGATTATTATGCGCACCTATTTTAACCTCAACTAAATATGAAGAAATCTCTGTAAATTTTTTGTCACTGTCCGTAATCCGTGCATCAAGCTGGCAAGCTCTTTTTGAGGGATGAAGAACTACACTACATAAAGGTGCGGGCACACGAGCGGTCTTGGTCGGATACTTTTGTTGCCGAATAGAGTCTTGTCTTGAGTTTCAACGACTGGCACAGACAAACGGTCGTCGATAATCACATGCGGAGCATACAGTTGAAGGAAAAGGAATCTGATTGGATGACGACTTTCTATCTTGCAGACGATAAAACTATCGAAGAGTATTATAAATCCTGTCGGCGACACGATAATCTTGTTGTGGAAGCCTGGGCACACACAAGATTTTACACAAGATTCGAGTCGGAGACAAAAATCTCATGTACCCGCACTTTCAGCAAATAAACGGTAGTTAATAATGTTTCATATTGGTAGATATAACTTACTTGTTGAGAGGCAATAATAGCTTGAATCTGTTCTTTTTCTTGTTTACTTTCAATTTTATCTTTCACTTTATTAATCAGAGCTTTCTTTTCTTTATGGCTACCTTTAATTGTTTTCATATATTTCTCATAGGGCAGCAGAAGTCTGAAAATATTCAAATGAATTTATAATTAATTGATATATACTCATATTTTGATGTTCTTTCTTTAATGTGTCTTCTTCTGTCTACAAAATTTTCATTCAATGCCATTTACTGATCTCCATTAAGAAAAATTCACGCATAATTTTGGCAGATAATGAGGATTTCAAGAAAATAAGTTAATACGGCAAGTAAGGTGAACAAAATTCCATCGAATGTTTCAGTTAAAACATGGGATGAGACTAGGTTATGATCACAAATGCAAGAGCTAGTATAAGAAGCCTTCATTACTTGAAATCAAATACTAAATTCTCCTTACTTTTCATAATGGCGTCTGGTACAGGTGGCAGCACTAGTACTTCCTGGATTACCACCTAACTTATCATATAGAAACTTCCATAATCTTTTCTTCGTTACTGCTTCATATCCTCCAAACTTCTCTGCGTATTTATAAAAAACATACAAATCCACTGAAATAATACAATTAACAACCCTCAGAATATTTGACTTCTTTTCTAAAAACCCTGACTTCTCAATAAGTTATGACTGATAACAATAATATGAGAAGGAAAATTCTATTTCAATTTTTAATTCATATATCATTTCCGCCAAGTTTGATTGATTAAGCAGTTAAATTATAAACAAGTTTTTTTAAATAAGTTTTGAATAAAGGAAATTGAAAAAGGAAAATTTTAAAAAGATTTATTGATGTTTACTTCAAAAGAAATTATTATGAAAAGTGAAAAACAATTTTTTGTCTAACTCTTTTGCACTTTGTTGATCATACCATTGGGTAATGAAGTCACACATAAATTGTGTGTTCAATAAGGTGAAAAAAGTTTTAGTACACCCAAAAAAACTGTCAAATAGAGACTTTGTGGGAATACAAACATCTTGTTGGAAAAATTTCATGATAAGGACCTGTGAAAATATTATTTATTCCTTGACACATTGACAATTTAACAGAATAAGAGATCAAGATTACCGTCAATGACAAGAAAAACAATAAAGACTTACACTGTCGAAAACCTAAAGATGGAATCCTCTCTATAGGTGTGTTACGATTTCTCATGAATTTATGTAGAGCTATGAGGAAACACTGTTCAGCTTCTGTCGTCTTATTCTTCTCAAAGAATGAACAGCCTTGTGACTGAAAACAATTCAAAATTATCATATGTTAATTTATTCTTAATTACTTGGTGCAGTCTGCCAGTGACATCAGGTGTTCAAGAACAGTAAGAAGTACAAGACTCTACAGCACAGTATTGCTTGGTTGTGGCGAACAAATGGTGGTTGTTGATTCTAATCTTTGTCAGTCTGGAGAGTATAATCCAAAAAAAACAGATAAGAAGTTCATTCAATGCACTTGCCTCATTTACACTTTACACTATTGATATGGCTTCTTAAATACATGGATTGTGTTGACTGAGTGAAGACTGATATCAGGTGTTCAGCCTCTAATTTCATTTCAAAATCGAAGGTCGTACATGATATGATCCCCAAAAGATCAAGAAACATTCTCATAGGAAATATTAAAGAGTTACCTACCCTAGTTTTGTGTGGTGAAGGTTTTAACAATGGAGAATCTGAATAAAGAGCTTTATCCGTCAGCCCGTTACTGCTGTCAGAGTCATGTGATGACTGTTTCCCTAGTGATAACTTCTTCTTACGAGGTCTGCCCTTTAAACTTGGTGCTGAAAAATGAAGAAACAAAATTTTCATACAAAAATCAAAGTACAATGGTTGGTTGGAAGAAAATCTCAAAAGAAAATGTGTGCACATACTCAGTAATTAAATGGTTTTTATGTCCCATTTTTCTGCAACTTTTTTGATTTTATCACAGATCCAAAACCTTACACAGTTGCAAGAAGACTCTACGAAAGAGGAAACTAAAGTCTCCAAATCCAGAACATACATCAGATTCCATAGAAGAGTCAAAATAAACAGGATTTATGACAAAAGTTCAAGGTCACCCTGAGTTGAGCTTAATATGGAATCAGCATATGAAATATTGTGTTGCAGTAAAGTTATGAGCCTGCAGGGTTCAACAAGATACAAGTATATACATGACTATAGATCTAAGAGTCATAATTAGGTAACATGCTCCTAGCTCTATGGTAATATCAAAATAATATAAAATATACAGAAATATTACTATTTTGATAAAAAGTCATGTCTGCACACTGTTGATTGTACATGGGGGCTTTGCATTTGGTCCCCTACAGATGCTTGGTCATGGATTAGCATGAGCTCAAGCTTGATTTCCCCTTTGGCTTTTTGTATGTAATAACCATGTTCTGGCTCCTTTGTAGAGACCCAATTGGAAAAAAGGTTATCTCACAGGTTTTTTAATTTTAAAGATATACTGCAATATCTAGGTCCAATATTGTCCAGCACCATCAATGTCAATGACCATTTGAATGAAAAAAAAGCCCAAGTACTAATGATGGGAATCGAAGAACAAAACTTGAAATGCCAAATTACATATTGGCGATACATCCATAGTAGCTAATGAACGTTTCATATGAGGAAGTATATCAATTATATGTGAGGAAGTATTTCATAATGAAAGTGGTATCAGGTGTTTAATACTTACCTAAATGATCACACCTGATTTCTAACTCGTCTAAATCAGAACTATAAAACGTATCTAAACAATACACGACACGACAATTCCTAGATTTGGTTGAAAATCCTCCAAGAGCACAAACTAAGGTGTGCTTTAACCATTTGTCTTGAACTCCTTCCAGGCGTTTCAGAGCTGTTCGGAATCGACAATACTGGGGATAACTTCTGATTACAACTTGGGATCTTTCTGATTCTGAAAAATATGAAAGGCATCAGACATGAAATTTCATAAAGAACGTCATTAGCTATGTGGAATTTTCAAAATGGTTGCAAAATTTTGTCAGAGTGGCATCTGGTATTCCAGTGTGAGCCTGATTTCTGCCTTGCCTTCTGGTAGGCCTTGAATTTTCTGTGGTCCATAACCATCTTGGCCCACAATACAAGACCTACTAATTGTACTAATACTTGTAATTCACATGTCTTTAAAATAAACAAATATTACATTAAATGATCAAAATAAATAGACGACATATTTTGATCTTAATTCAAAACACATAAAATATGTCAGTTTAACCATTTGATCACATTTGACATTTCTATTTCTCTAGTTAAATAAACTAATGAAATAGCTAGACACAAATTTATCAGAATATTAACTTCAGATATGTATTCAATTCAGTTTTAACAATTAACAATGATGAGCGAATATTTCAAACATAAGAGACTTCAACTTATTAAAATTAAAGAGCTGAATCAATTATTACATCATATAAAATTAAAATAAATTTAAAAAGACATTTAATAATAAAATTCATTTCCTCTCAAAATTTAAAAATTTCTTCAGACAATATATAATCAATATATTAATACTGGAGAGATGAATTATCAATTTAACAACATCATATCAAATTTTGATTAAATTTTGGACGAACTTCCTATGCGTTCAAACCTTTCAAAGTTCATGGTGAAAAAAGACGAGGCATCCTGCCCGATGTGGTGTACCATGCCAGATTATCATTAGAGTGGAAAAATGGAGAAACAAATACACAAGGTATGTGTTAAAAAAATCTTCTACAATATAGATAATCCAGTATTGGACTACACACTTACATTCTACTTGCATCTTACAACATCAATCAAATATAATAAATAGGTAAAATATTCTGTCTGAAACCACCCAAAATGAAGGAAAATTCTGAACAAGAAGTTCATTTTTAAAATTGTCTATTTTCACCCAAAAAACTAACCACTAAATTGATCTACCTCAAAATTATCAGACATAAATAATTACTAATATATTCTGTTGGAGGTAACCCAAAATGAAGTAATATTTCAAAACAAGCAATTCATTTCTAATAATTCTGCACATATATATATATATATATCTTTCCACCAAAAACAATGATCACTTAATACCTCAAAATCATCAGATAACACACAATAAAAATCCTCCTATTATTTCATAAGCTAAATCAATAAACCTGTATTCAACAATCCGCAAAGAATGAATATTTCAAAATAAGAAAAGTCATGACAATATCGAAATAGAAATTAAAAATAGAAAGGAAAATAGAATTATGCTAATAAGAGCTACCTTTAATAACAATAGGTCTGTTTTGACGTAGAATATTTTAATAATAGAAACTGATTTTAACTGAATCAATAATATCTGATTTTACAATACTCAATTTATTTCTAATACAATATAATATACTACTTTTATTTTATCTTTTCATTTTATAAGAACTATTTTATTATGAACTATGTTCCATGCTTGGAATATTCTGAGAGTGTCCTCCTCATAAATGTTAAAAGTCTCATGTCAATAGCTCTTTTATTTTGTAATTTCTAAAACAGTATATAATAATAAGCATTAATGTATATATAATTTGTCCATCACTTCTTATCATTATGTGCCTGAGGACGATGGGGGAAACTGTCTGAGGACCACGGGGGAAACACGTCGAAATATTGCATAAAAATTTAACCAGTGATTGTTGTTCCATAAAGCTGTGTCTAATTGTACTCACAATTGCTAAATGACATTCAAAAACAGTAATATATTTATCTTTTTCTTTATATTATATTACTTTTTATAAGAATTATCATATGGTATGTTCCTGGCTTGTAATAATTTGAGTGTGTCCAACTACTAAATTTTTAAATTCCAAGTACAATTTCAAATAGTTCTTTATTTTGTAATATATATAGCAATTTAAACACCTCTATTTCTCAATTTCTCTATACATTCAAATAAACTACTAAAATACATAAACTATCAGTTTCAAATTATTGGTGCATCAAGTCAATTTTTTTAAATCCAAGTTTTATGTCAAAACAAACATTTTTAATCAGTTAAAATCGATAGTACTTCTCTAATCTCAATTACTATTTATTGTTTTATATAGCCAACAAATGACCTTGAAACTGGTAGATTGATTATTTTACAAAATACTCAGCCTCCAATTTCAGATTTACTTCTAAACAGTTCTAATAGTTGAATGAAACCAGACAATGGGAAATCAAATCATAAAGGTTATTATTTGGTAATTCCTTCAAATCAATTATTAATTTAACTATTTCAGGAACTCGATTTCCATTTTTTCCAAAAAAACAAATAGCTGATATTGAAAAATCGAATATGAATTTGTTAAAAAAAAAGATCATATTTTTAGTCCTCGTGGTGATATATTTTTTATGTCAGTATGACAAAGTTCACTAGGATATAATTAACGTTATCTAATCAGAATGCTGTAAGGAAAACATGGAAAATTATGCCCATTCCAAATGTCAATAGTAGCTTGTGTCACCATGACATAGAGTAATATAGGAATATATCCAATTATTTTATATATCTTAGTGAATTTCTAAGTTTGTTTGAGATTCAGAAGACTGGAATAAATATAGCAGGCTTATATTGTTGATAAACCACAGTTAATAAAATTATCTTTATATTAATTGAAATATGAATATAGGAATATCAATTTTAAATATAGACTGTTTGTGAGTTATATCTTATGCAGAACCAGCAGTGACTGAAGAACTATGGCGGGCACTGCCTTTGGGAGGGGGGTTTGAACATACATGACATTTGGTATCCAGTTTCCTGTTTGATCGGATTACAGGATTATTGATGCATTAAAGCAATTTTGAGCGCAATAATCTTAATCTTTCAGCAAAAACAGAAGAATGCAATACACAAAATAATGGTTTGGACATATTTTGCCGTTTTTACTGCATTCCAGTATCAAAACTTCTGAGATACAAAAAAGGTGGTTATAGAAGTTAAGGTATTAGACACAGTATGTAATAGCTTGATATTGTGATAATAAAGGTTGTATAGAAAAGGTGATATATAACTGCTCTAATTTTTTAATATTTGATTCATTCTCACCTGTTGTAAGATCTCTAATCATAGATAAGATAGGTTTATTCTCACCTGTAGTATCACCATTACTAGTAGTATCATAAGGTACAGGATAACCCACTGTCCATTCTATATTATACTGTATCATTGGTATCAAGTCAGGTAGTTTTAATATCATTTTATGGTGCAGGGCCAATATCTCATCCTGGAAATAAAAAAAAAAAATGGCATAAGAATCTAACCTTCTTCATCCTTTCAACTTTGACTTAATTTCTATTAGGTGGATACTTATTCATTAAGAATTTCTCAATCATGTGACATTTTGACTGACAGGTTTGGCCAGGACCACCATCAGTTTGGTTTGTGAAAGAAGAACGGTTAAGGGAAGAGGTTCACATTGGCTACAGACGCAAGAAAGAAAAAATTATTCAGACATGACTGGTGGATAAAATGAAAATCAGCATCCCTGACTAAAAACAATCCTACTATCTGTTGTTTACTAGACTGATATAAACTTTTATCTGGTAATAACCTTGAAGATGATGAATACAGATACAGTTTTTATCTGTAAATAGTACTAGAGAGGGATCAAACCTGGATAATATTACATGGATTTCAATCAAATATTTTCACTGGTAAAATAGTGCTCAATACACCGATATAAAAAAAGACAGCGATATTATAATATTAAAACAGAACGTCAAAAAACATGTTGTCACTCAGAGTTTCACGCTATGCGATGTTCAGACAGCTCGGAAGAGCGCATAGCATGAAACTCTGATTAACAGCAACATGTTTTAATATCTTTTAATATTAACTAAGGATTTTATCAGATACTGTACATAACACTATGGAATAATTCAAACAAAAACATGCCCTGTCACTTTGATCATTTGGTGGAATTTATGGCCTCACTACAGAGGGGCTGGGGGTGGCCACCCATATGTAATATACAATTTTGCTGTGACACTTAATGAAGATTGCTCTACTCTTAAGCCAATTAGAAAATAGAAAATAAAGTTAGAAATAGGAAGTAAAGAGACAACTCTACTCTTGAATTCATCATAAATATAAAACATTGTATAGAGAATAGGGGAAGCAAAAAAATCAATGAAATAAAATTAATGAGAGAATTTTCTGATGAATTGAAAGTTATAGAGTAACACATGGTTTCTCTTTACATATAATCAATGGTAAACATCTACACTCATAATACATAATAAATATTGCTTGTTTATTTAAGGATAAGGGGGTGAAACTGACTCTCGGAACCACTGGCACTGGCATCAAATTTTTCTTTTCCTGAGGAAGATTATTTAGGGTCTTAGAGCAACATCTATAGGCTACCCTAGTTGAGTAAGGCAATGGTCAACTCATCATACTATACACAATGGTTTCTTTAGGGTGTTTGGGATGGGGGTGGAGCAAAGGTTGCTTCATGCCTCCCCCTTCCTAAGCCACCCTAATTTCTAATCATTGAGTTCTTTCTTAAATCCTAGCGCAATTTGCTCAACTAAACAATTCTTTGCCTGAAAAAACTAATGATAAATAGAAACACCCCTGGAAAATCATTATAATAAATCAGTCTGAATGAAATGTTAAATACCAATTAACTGGTATTAAACTAGTATTATTGTGCCTGGAAGATCTGTATAGAGGTATATATACAGACAATAGGCTAGAGATGTACTATTATTTACTATAAAGATAGGTTATAATAACTCATGGTACATACTCTATATATTACTCTTGTATATAATGAATTATATTATTATTCTGCCTGGAAGATCTTTATAGAGGTATATATACAGACAATAGGCTATACAGATAGGTTATAATAACTCATGGTATATACTCTATATATTACTCTTGTATATTATTATACAGTTTTATAATGAATTATATTATTATTCTGTCTGGAAGATCTTTATAGAGGTATATATACAGACAATAGGCTATACAGATAGGTTATAATAACTCATGGTATATACTCTATATATTACTCTTGTATATTATTATACAGTTTTATAATGAATTATATTATTATTCTGTCTGGAAGATCTTTATAGAGGTATATATACAGACAATAGGCTATACAGATAGGTTATAATAACTCATGGTATATACTCTATATATTACTCTTGTATATTATTATACAGTTTTATAATGAATTATATTATTATTCTGTCTGGAAGATCTTTATAGAGGTATATATACAGACAATAGGCTATACAGATAGGTTATAATAACTCATGGTATATACTCTATATATTACTCTTGTATATTATTATACAGTTTTATAATAAATTATATTATTATGTATTAACACTAATAGAGCAATACAAGAGATTTAGGACTATGTAATACTTGTATCTAGTAATACACATACATTGATTACAGTCGAACTATTTTTCTCCCGATCAAGGATATTTTTGTTGCTATCTAGCTTAGCACATTCTAAGCTGTTACATGTACAGAAACACAGTTATCTGGCACATGCTGAAAATAGTACTATCATAATTGTACTTTATTATACATTTTCATCATAAAATTTATCCCATTTAAACAAAGATCAATATGTTTTGATATGTAGGTATGGTATTAAAATATTGAGAAAAAATTAATAGCTAATAAAAACTAAGATACAAGACCAGGAGAAAACAATATATAAATACTAAATAGAAAGAATAAAAGAAGGTAAAATAATCAATTGTACAAGAAAATTGTACTATTGTAAAGGAAACAAATGAAAGGAAAAAAAAATAGATCTTAATGATTTGAATTGGTTTGAAGCCTCCTACTTTCAAAAAAATTGAAAAATCATATATTTTGATCTTCAGAATTAGAACTGGTTTGAAGCTGTGTACTTTAGTAAAAAATGCAAGAATAACATATTTTGATGTGAATAAAAGATAAATTATAAGATTATTAAATAAATAATGTAGAAATAATAGAAGTGGACTATAGAACGAGTTAGAAATCAATATATTATCAGAGTACAGATTGTTGGAAGGTCAAACTTGACATCATTTACATCATTATAATAGAGAATACATATTGCATATTACTGATTCATCAACAAAGCTTAAATCATTGTTACAGAGAATACATATGGCATATTACTGATTCAAAGCTTAAATCATTATTACAGAGAATACATATTACATATTACTGATTCAAAGCTTAAATCATTATTACAGAGAATACATATTGCATATTACTGATTCAAAGCTTAAATCATTATTACAGAGAATACATATGGCATATTACTGATTCAAAGCTTAAATCATTATTACAGAGAATACATATGGCATATTACTGATTCAAAGCTTAAATCATTATTACAGAGAATACATATGGCATATTACTGATTCAAAGCTTAAATCATTATTACACAGAATACATATTGCATATAACTGATTCATCAACAAAGCTTAAATCATTATTACACAGAATACATATTGCATATTACTGATTCATCAACAAAGCTTAAATCATTATTACACAGAAGACATATTACATATAACTGATTCATCAACAAAGCTTACATCATTATTACAGAGAATACATATTACATATAACTGATTCATCAACAAAGCTTAAATCATTATTACACAGAAGACATATTGCATATAACTGATTCATCAACAAAGCTTAAATCATTATTACAGAGAATACATATTGCATATTACTGATTCAAAGCTTAAATCATTATTACACAGAATACATATTGCATATAACTGATTCATCAACAAAGCTTACATCATTATTACACAGAATACATATTACATATAACTGATTCATCAACAAAGCTTAAATCATTATTACAGAGAATACATATTGCATATTACTGATTCATCAACAAAGCTTACATCATTATTACACAGAATACATATTACATATAACTGATTCATCAACAAAGCTTACATCATTATTACAAAGAATACATATAACTGATTCATCAACAAAGCTTAAATCATTATTACACAGAAGACATATTACATATAACTGATTCATCAACAAAGCTTAAATCATTATTACACAGAAGACATATTACATATAACTGATTCATCAACAAAGCTTAAATCATTATTACACAGAAGACATATTACATATAACTGATTCATCAACAAAGCTTAAATCATTATTACACAGAAGACATATTGCATATAACTGATTCATCAACAAAGCTTAAATCATTATTGTATATACCCACCCTTGTTGATGAATCAGTAATATGTGATGTATATTCTGTATATATATATATAGCCCTAACAAGCCTCAAATACAGAAATAATTACATAATGCTAAAGGCTTGAAATGAAGTCAAATAACATGAATTTCACAGTACAATTCTATTCAATAAATCAAAATCCAGGAAAAATACAGAATCTATCACATCAATTTTAACATATGAACCTTAACATTCGTGAACATTGCTTTAACCCTGTGCCAGTGCTTTCTGTTGGATAGTAACTTGTTAAATTCAACCACCCTAATCTTTAATCATCAATTTATAATCAAATTTAAAAATCACATAACAACTATTCCTCCATACAATTATTATTATAGATCATCTTATTAATTTTATAATCATTTTTATATAATTATCAGTTGTGTCATACAATTGCTTCAAAACAAGATTAAAATTGATCAAGAAATACATATAGATTGAGAAGCCATGTAATACACTGTACCAGTTCCAAATGTCATGTTATGTTTATTTTGAAGGTTATACAGTAAAACTGGATTATTTGTAAACATTATAATGAAATTTGGGGGAACAGAAAATATTATGAAATGTAAAACATCATTGTTGTTTATTTGAGTTTAGAAATGTTATGCATCAATGATATTCAATCTAATTGAAAATATCAATAAAGCATTATAAGGTGACAAATAGTTGATAGAACCAATCGCATAGCTGAGTGAGGTGTGGGTGTGGAGGAAAAGTGAGCTTGTTCTGCCTACCAATAGACAAGCAATATATCTATGCACATCTGGATGCAATTCAATAAATACTAACAGTCTGCTCTTCAGGTAACATTGTTATTTAAAGGGATGGGTACACTATTTTTTTGATTAATCATGCTTTAATCTAAGAAACGTGAATTTGTTTTAGCTAAGCCATTCAGTAAGAGTGTTCACAGCTCACCCTCAAAATTTAAGCCTTCAAAACCATGTATGTCCAGAATTATTCGCATT